GGGTGTGCACCTTTTGACTGAATACTATGGACTGCAGGGTGCAGAAGTTGTGGTCAGGATTCAGCTCTGTCGGGTTTCCATTATGTGCGGAGGGTTTTGTTCACAACTGTTTAGGTTTGTAGGGAATGACCTTATATCTGTCAATTCTCCCCTTTCCTGATGTAAAGAAAAGGAGGGAGACAAAAGGCAGCTCTTTGGCTCACAAGTTTAACATTTTGTCTGATGTTTCCCTAACTTAGAAGGTTATGAGGTTTACTATCAACTATGCAACAACCAAGCAGCCAAACGCACAAACAAACCCACCGCCGTAGAGTCAATGCAGACTCCTGGAAACCCTTGGGGAGTTCTGAGACTGTAACTGTGGTGGTTTTGAACTGCTAACTATGTGGATCGCAGCGGAACACATAACCACGAGGAACACTTAAAAAGCCTAAGTGGAAAATGGACCCCACACATCAGGCATCACGTGATCCAGGCCAAGAACACAGCAGTGGTGGCCAATAGGTCCATTTTCCAGATGGCGGGGCAGCTAAGGCCTCTCTGGGCTCCCTGAACTGTCACTCACAACAGCTTACCATGGGCTGCCTTTGTCTTTCGTTCTTTCCTCAGAGGCAGAGAGAGGGGACCAGAAAAGTTGTAAAGTTTCCTCATTTACGTCCTGTCAGCTCTTCCCAGTGTTGTCTCCCCGAACAGCAAGGGGTGATGACTAAAGAGGCAGAGACCATTCTGTGAGTGGGTTCTAACTTCTGTTCTTTGCTGCCATTCAGCCAAACTGGGTCCAGACAGAATCCCTGCACTGGATCTGTGTGCAGGCACAGGAAGGAGAAAGCCCGGGCAACCGGCACGTTCCTGCTCAGTCAGGGCACCATGACTAGTGGGGGATGCATCTGGTAGCCCTCTGTGGCAGCCCAGGTAGTAGGGGAAGGTCAGTAGGTAGCTGGGAGAGGTGGTGAGAGGGTTCCCTCTGTGACATGGCCTTTTAGCCTGCCCAGAGCTTTGTGACACACCCTTGTGCAGCAAACATCACTTTCCTGTTTCCAGGTGTGTCCCAAGAGGCGTCCCTGGGTAGTGCCAACCATGAATGCACTAAGTTAGAGGCACTTGAGAAGAAGGGCGGGGCTCTCCGTTTGGGTTGGCTGTTCCCTCCTAGCAGCAGGTCCCCCTTCTACTCATTCCTCGCTCCCTTTATTTCTTGTACGATAAGAGTGGATACAGACACGCCCCAGGGAAAGTCTCCTTACAGGACCTGGGGTGTGATGGGTCCCCGTTGAGTTGCTCACTGAAAGGTCAGTCGGTCGAACCTACCAGCCACTCCTCAGGAGAGAGAAGACGCTTTCTACTGCCATACAGAATTGGTCTCCCAGACTCCCGAGGGCGGTGCTGCCCTTGCCTATAGGGTTGCTATGGGTTGGAATGAACTGAATGACTGTGAGTTTGTTTTTAAAAAAAAAATCCGTCACTGAAAACTCAGTTGAGCGCAGTTCCCCTCGGACAGGCACGCGCTTGCTGGGAGTTGGTACTGCCGTGGTTGTCAACGTGTTAGTACAGACTTGGCTTTGCTCAATGATGCACAATATTCTAATATTTATGTGAGAGTGGACTCTGGGTCTGGTGTTTCCTGACCAAGTGCTTCCTTTGTATTAGAAACACATATCAGAGTGGGTTTTATTTTATTTTATTTTTTTCCAGCTTAAAGCTCTGGCCTCAACTCATCACCAAGAGATTTTAAAAACGGAAATAGGTGTGGCTTTTGCCTTGGTTCACCATTCGTAAAATGGCCTGTTGCTATAGACATGATGGATGAGAAAACTCACTGCCATGGAGTCAGTGCTGACTCACGGCGATGCCCTGTGGGTTTCCAAGACTGTAAATGCTTACAGGAGTAGAAAGCCCAGGCTTTCTCCCGAGGAGCTGCTGCCACACCGCCAGGGGTCCTCAGTGCTAGAAAGGAGGCAGCGAATGGGGGCGCAGAGCAAAGACATAAATAAGTGGTGGACATAAGCCATGATATAGGAAGAGAGGCAGTCAAGCTTTGTTATCAGTTATTCGGGAAAACTTGTATATCTAAAGTGACTATGCCAAGTTCAAGCAATAAAGAAAGAATAGAAACAAAACCCCTCACTTTTAATTCTGAATCTAGAAAATTATAATGGGTTTTCCAGGTCTTTGTGAGGTGGAGATAAAAGTTCATAGCAGTTTGAACTTTGTTGCTTGGTTACCATATCCAATGTATGCTCTCCTGAGGCAGACATATACACCTTGTGGTAGGTGTCTTGTCAGTGGGATGCCACTTGCTTGTGTCTGCTGCAAACAATTAGAAGTTGCACGAATCCTGGGTTGGTTCAGGAGCGAATGGATGAGCTGGGCATGGGCCTCAGCTTTCATTCCGTGCTACGAAATTCAAGCTGTGTAAATATCAACCTGAGATAGTCAAACCTATTATCATTCATTTATATTCATTAATGACCTTAATCAACAAAGCCAGTCGTACCTAACACAAACAAATGACTGGCCTTTGAAGCAGAAGTGCAAACATCAGTGAGTACATTTTAATTGTTCTTCCTTGTTAAGGGGTGTTAGCTTGTTTCAATCAGCAAGGAATGCTGTACACGAAGCCATGAGATTTTAAAATTTTCATATGCAAATCGTCACCAACAGCTCCAATGAAGGTATTATGTGAAAAACTCAAGAGTTGTATATTCTGCCAAAGTGTAATCATTGTGAAAATTTCTAAATTTAGAGCAATGACAATAGCTTTCCATATTTGATCATAAAAGCTAGTGGAAGCGAGAGGCACCTCCTACGCTTACCATGAGAATGAGAATAAGGAACAATCTTCAGTTGCCTACATAAAACCACATCCAGTGATTTCTAGGCTGGGATTGAAGAGAGAATGTTGTGAGAAAGAGTGGTTAGACAAGCTATCAAACTTGGTTTTAGAGATTAATTTTCCCAAGAGGTTCTATCACCAGTTTATAAGCATAATAAAAGCTAACAATTACATTGTGAATTAGCTAACAATTAAATTGTGTTTTCTGTTTGCGTCTCAGCCTAAAGAGCATGCTGTTCACAATTACTCCAGGAAGAACTCTCACTATCCCCATTTTGGTAGATTAGAACATCTAAGCACAGAGAGCTTAAGAAACTAGTTTAAGGCCCTACCGCGAGAACGTAGTCTTGGGTGCCAACTCAGGCTAGCTAGCTTCCGTCTACATGCTCTGAACCACTTCAGGACAATGCCTCAATTAGTAAAACAGAATTCGTCCCCGTGTTAGCGAAAAACAAAACCAAAATGGAACATGGGCCTTTAGCTGCACCTTGGTCTAAGTTAGACTAAACTCAATGGTCTTTCCATTCTTCTAATTAACCATCATTTGGATCTATCAAACGTGCTCCATCTCCTGACAGTTTACGAGGCAGGCAAGGCAACATCAGGAACACACAACAGCAGGCGCCCCACCTCGCAAGGAAACCTGCAGTTCCTGCAGCCTGGAGAGAGGCTGGCCTGCTGTGGGGTCGGCGAGGCTCCTACACTGATGGTGGCACGAGGGCAGCTCGTGAGAGATACCTCTTGGAAGGTGAATCTCCAGCGAATCAGCTGCAGAGCCAAGAATACAACTACATTTTGTCAAAATCACATTCTCCCTTCAGTACCAGCCTCGGAATAACTGGCTGTGACTTTTTAAGTAACTTAAAGATGCTCCTTATTCTCCTTCTCGTGGTTTGTCCAGGAAGAGACTTCACATTGTTCTGAGTTCCTTTGACAGTAATCATGACCACAGCCACCAAAAAGGGCACACACGACAAGAAATAGTCACCTCTGTCTACACGATAATTGACTGATCTGTCTGGAAGTAGATGCTCTCATTGCCCCCAGCCTGTGATCAGCTAAGAGAACAAGATCTTCCTCAATAGGAAAGGACAACTCAGGAATCATTTGTTTCTTCCCTGAAAGACATCCAGTTATCCTCCTCCCCACATTTTAATGTGTACAACAAACTATCCAAAAGCAAGCAGCCAACCACACCTTCCCAGTTCTGCATAGAAGATCATTATTTCCAGTAGTCATCGCTGGAGTTCCTAGACTGTGTGTTTCCAAATTGGGCCTCCTTCCACCCGTCCGGTGGCTGATGCAGGCCCAGTATGCAGCAGTAGCTCCCCAGGGAGTAGGGTGGGGTGACAGGGTCTTGGTTTCAGGGGAAATGAAGGGTATCTTGAGCAAGGGGATAGAGTTTGAGAATCCATATCCAAAGTTATCATTACTTTTGCAGTTTGGTTCTGAAATGTAGTTTATAATGACATTGTTTATAATGTATGCAAATCTTACATCTTGCCAAAGGAGGCAAAGGTTCCCAAAGATTGCTTTAGAGTAAATAAGACACTAAGAACACAGATTCCTTGCCCAAACCTACCTGGAATATAAAGAGACTCTCCAGTTGGGATTGGGGAGTGGGTGGGTGGGGGGTCACATCTTTGGTTACTTTAATAGACTGGATAAACATGAAAAAGAGTTTAAATAAAGAGTTGTGGGCAAAGTCGTAGTAGCTAATCCAGTCTACGGTTATATTGAGTACCATCATAAAGCATATACAGACTGGACACCATTTGAAGGGGCTTTGGCTCATGACCGTGAGCTAGGTAGCAGTTACCTGATTATTTAAAAAGCCAAGCCAGTTGCTACTAACTCCAAAATTTTTTTAAAAAGTCAACGCCACCTCTAGTTCCTGGCCTCCTGTGAACTGTGTGTGTGTGTCAGCGTCTGTCTGGGCTCCACAGATTGGAAGGACTGATCCTTTGGGAATCAAACGGCAGGCCTTACTTGTGAACTGCCTCTGAGTGGGCTGGGATCTGCAGCGTTCCAGTTAACAGGCATGTGCGACAACCATTGCCACTGGCCGCCATCTGAGCATTTACACCTTTTGGCTTCAGTGTTTCCAGACTGCGATGGCCATACCAGCATCTCTGGGCCAAACAACCCGGCTCACAGGTAGGTCACTTACGTGAACTCTTGAAGTCTTTCTTTTTCAGCCTCCTCCTCATCATGGTCCCGCGTGGGCTGGTGGAGTAGAGGCTGCGAGGCAAAGTGCCCATGTTCAGGGAACTCAGGCTGTACGCACTCATGGAGGTAGGGGAGAAGGAGGAAGACACCACAGCTGCTGTAAGAGAGTGGAGACTTGGCACAGTGTTCTCAGCGGGGTGCAGCCAACCGGTGACAGCGCACAGACACACACGACGTACAGCAAGGGCCCGTCCGTCCCCCAACCAGACAGAGAGCAGGCGCAGACACCATGGAGACACAGCACTTTAGAATCTCAGAGTTAAGCGAGACCATACATGCCCCATGTATAGTTCAGCATGTCCTCAGGGTCCCATGGGTCACAGAGAAACCCCATGAATCTTGCCTTTGGACCCAAACTACACATGAAAATAAGTTGCTCCCTGACCAACTCCAGGTCTCAGCAGCAATCTTATTTCCACAGGTATTTCCTGACCTGACTTTCATGAGTGGTGAGAGCATCAGATGCCCTATCATGCTCCGGCTTGTTATCCGCTGGCCCCACAGAAAGCATTCTGAACATTGGGATCCCTTTCTGACAGCCAGTGCCAAGACCCAAGACTTGAGAGGTGTCAGAAGTGATCGCTTGCTATTGCAGGAAAAGCATCCAACCCACACACGGAGGCAGAGACGTGGTGGGTGAGATGAGGCAGGGCGAGAAGAACACAATGGAACGCAAGACCAGGACGAGAAAGCTGGGCACATTACGAGGGCTGTGTGTAGCAGGCGCCTTCGGGAAGGTCAGGGCTGGCGCTCTGCAGTGGTCAGGGTGGTAGGTGTGATAGTGATGGTAGGTGTGAAGGCTGCTGGGGTGGTTGTTGGCCCAGGAATCCCAGGTAAGTTGCCTGTCGCTCCTCTGAATTTTCACTGCCCATGTGATGTGATGATGAGAAAACAAACCAAACGAAACAAACAAACAAACAAACAAAAGGACGGGGGGCGGGGAGGGGGGGGGGAGAAGAGGAAAAAGTAACTGAACGGCACAAATCAAAAGTGTAGCAAAATGAAAGCTACTTGCGAAGAAACAAAAATGTACTTGTCGCGGCCCTTTCTCAGCGGTCAGCAGAACGGGAATGAACATCGGAGGGAGAACCTTTTAATCTTCTGGAGAATAATGAATGTCTTCCCTCAGCCCCCTTCCCAGCCCCACTCCCCCTCCTTTTAAGATGAGCACTGAATCAATTTCTAATCTCCCCTGTGCATCGCAGCAGAGATTAAAAACATTTTTTTAAATGTATAAGCCAACCCCATAGAGATCTATGGCCTGCGATTAGTAATTAAAGATGCGCAAATCTTGGCTAGTTAGCAGCACTCGTTTGGAGAGGAAGAAGGAGGGGACAATAAATCACATTGGCTGGTGAGTCAGGGGGTTCACCAGTCACGCACCACACTTTACGGCTCTGACATTTAAATTACACTACCACCCATCACTTGCATTCAATTTCCCTCAATAACAGACCTTTCTAATCATCTATCCTCATCTTATAACGAGGGAGAAATGCTGCAATATATTTTTTAATTTTTAAAAGCACTTTGGGAAACCTTTTTTTAAAAAGAATTCGAAGTGAACTGTCAATTTTGAAAATAGTCCATGCTCTTATGTTTCCTGGAGATGTCATAGAATTTTGACGAGGTTTACTTCAAAGCCTGGATGCCCTCCCTGTGTTTGTACATACATGCTTACCATGCTCCCATTCGACGGTCCAAAGCCGACGCTAGACTTTCTAGCCAGCCTTCTGAAACATGACCCATACGGGATTTCTTCCTCTGACATAAAATTTCACATTCAACAACTTTAAAGAGCTCAGAAAAACATATGAACTCCCTTCACCTGTAGGTCCCTGACTCTAATGCTAGAGGCCTAGATGTAAATCACCTCACAGTGTTCGTATTGATTCACATAAGATAAACAAATGTCTCTATTTTAAGGAGCATCATTGAGAGTGTACGTTGAAACAACTGTGATACCAGCTCACTGGCCACTTCCTATCCTTTCTGCGATGAGACAGGGACTAGAACGAGGACATGTCCGATCACTGTAAGGGGTTTCATTCTGGCTCCATTCCTTCCTACATACAGGACCTGCTTCACCTGGTCCTTGGCTTCTCTTCTGCTCGGTTGCCTCATCTGCCAAATGGAGCCCATGATAAGAGTTTTATGAGCATTAACGTTCAACAACCTTACAGAGCTCAGGTGCTAAGCGTGGCGTTACTCTGCAGAATGGATGCCCGCCAGCCATTAGAGCCCTTGAACCTGCCAGTTTTTCTTCACACTGGTGAACCAATTATCTTGTAATGGGAATGCTCTATATCTGGCACTTAATTTTAGAGAAGATTTCAGAAATCTCTGATGTAGAACACATCACGATGGACAAGAACACAATGTAGAGCATGTCTTCCAAAACCCTGCATGGAAATTATTTCTAAATTCTGCTTCTTCAGTGCTGGTAATTTACCAGCAAAAGACAAGGTTGCTCTCTTAATCCCAGTTGCTTTTTCACATGGCCCAGAAAACCCTGCGGTGACTGGTTTTGTTACCAAGCAAAATCTGGGAAATACTGTATCTCCCTCCCCCCATGGCTTTAGAAACACACTGTGCAGGTTTCAGAGGTTAGGATAAAAATAACTAGACCGTTCTTGTGGAAACGGTTAAAAGTATGTAACAATTTTCTTACATACAAATCAAAGTTTGAGAATTATATACATAATAAAGATTTTCCTCTGTGGGGGAATGGAAATTTTTTATTTTTATTCTTCCACAGTCATTTATGTTTAGGAGCCAATATCGATTTACTCTTGGCTGTGCAAGTCCCATTTTCACTCTGTAGAACGTGGGGAAATGACTGCAGGCTAGATATGGAAGATAGCGCATCACTTGCAGCAGAAGTAGGTGATGGGTCAGACGAGAAAGCGGAATGACTCAAACCAGTAGTTGCTATTGCGCAAGAGCCGTCAGATGCTCCACAGTGGTGAAGACCCTCGGTTCTTGGTTCATACGTTTGAGCACATAAATTTTATCTTCTCAAATTGTGTTTGGTGGTGACAAAGCAAAGTGAGTTGGAGATCACTTCAGTTATTGCTGATTTGCACACAATGTAAATAAACAAAAAAACTCACTGCCATTGATGACTCGCAGGGACCCTATAGGACAGGGTAGAACTGCCCCTGTGAGTTTCCAAGACTAATTCTCTAAGGGAGTAGAAAGTCCCATCTTTCTCCCATGTAGTGGCTGGTGGTTTTGAATGGCTGACTTTGTAGCTGGCAGCCCAACGGGTAACCATTTCACCACCAGGGGTCCCTGTGTAAGTGAGGAGAGGAGGGATGGGGTGGCTCAAGGCAATTCCATCTAAAAAGGTGTGCCGCACATTTCTGCTCCGTGAACAGAAGAAGTTCATCGTCTTCCTTCCATGCAGCACAGCACGGTACCCTGTGCGTTCCTGTGAACAGTAGTGCCCCAAGTCTAAAGATGACTTTCGATGAATTTAGGGGACACTTAACAGTTTTAGGTATCTCTACTCTCAGTTGGTCTGTGGTAAAGGCTCTGGGGCCCCCCCAGACAGACCAGTGTGCATTCCTGCAGACCGCTAGCTCCCAGAGCTCCTTATCATTCCTAGTCAAAGGATGCTGAATGCCCTTTCCTGCCCAGCCTCCACTGCATCCTCTCTCTGCCCCAGTGTGTAAAATTAAAATCTGATAAGGGCAGTGCTGTGCTAGAGATTTTCAGTAGCTCCAGGGCTGTCTAAGCTCCATTTAATTAAAAAGGGTACATCTAGCTGACTCATTCAGTATGAAAATGATCTGGTTCTGCTATGTTTTTTCTCTTCTTCTTCCCCACCCTGTACAGTGCGTTATAGCTGGTGGGAGAGATGTCGTACAAATGATCTCCTCATAAGCGAAATTCCCGTTCACGAGCCAATTGCTCGCTCTCTAAACACACACAGACGCATGTGCCTCCTTTAAGCCACCTTAACGATGCCAGCGGGGCCTTGGGCTGTAAGGAAGGGAGAGGCGCGGTGGGTGGAGCAGACTCGATTTAAGGGAAGGGAAGGCATAGGAGTTGGACTGCCTCCCCTAGACCTACTTGCCCTCCCCCATTGGAGTCTTGGTCTTCATTTGATTTGGGGGGTCAAATCAAAATGCACCAGGTTTTGTTCACAGATGTGTATGGAGGCCTGGGGAAGAGAGGGTCAAAACACTCATCAAGCATATGTGAGCTTCCAGGAGGCAAACATGCAGACTCTTTTAGTTTACACCTTTTATTGAATACATGTCATCAACAATTCTGATGCTCCCATGGACAGGGGTTAGCCGGGATAATCACTGGTCTCTGTTCCCTCAGCCCCATCAAAGTTACTCTGGTAAATTGACACAATTCTACCCCCCAACTATTTGTACGGGGTGCTATTACTATCTAAGGAGCCCTGGTGGTGGAGTAATTAAGTGTTGGGCTGGTATCCACAAGGTCTGCAGTTCAAAACCACAAGCCACTCTGAGGGAGAAAGATGAGGGTGTCTAGTCCCATGCAGAGTTACCGTCTCAGAAACCCACAGGGGCAGTTCGACCCAGCCCTATAGAGTCACTAAGAGTCAGCATTGACTCAATTAATGGCAGTGCGTTTGGATTTTTGGTTGGGCTATTAACATCTACTGCATAGCGATACCTAAAAATAAAATAAAAATAGGTGCAAGTGACACTATTAGTTTTCGCTGTCCTCCAATGGATACTCAAAATTCAATATGGATAAAGGGAGTGTAATCATTTCTCTGAATGTTCAGTCCTACCCAAGGCTTTAAAATATTTTATTATTATTTATTAAAATATTACGAACAGATATGTAAATATTAAGTAGTACTAACCTAATATTTTTTTTCACTCCCAAAACAAAAGTCTTCTCCCCATTTGGGGATGGATAATAACAATAAGTGTGACTTGAAAGGCATTTGGAAGAGAAGAGGCGAAAACAAAGATAATGTGTAATTTTGAGGGGAAATGATAGAGGCAGAGATGAACTCAGAGCCTTTCTGGTTTCTAACTCTGCTGCCGGAAGCAGGTAAGTGGGCAGGGACCAGAGAGAGATTCCTCAGGCCCGTCTCCTCACCGTGTTCTGGTCCCTTGAGGGCCAGGCGGGTCTGATGATGGGGAAGAATCTCTAGCTTGACCTGGTCGCTGGTGTTGGCCAGGAACTGAGTGGCCTCCGCGAGCGTGCAGTACTCCATGCTGGTTCCGTCAATGGACAGGATGTGGTCTCCGGCGTGCAGGGCCCCGCATCTGCAGAGAGAGGAGCGGTGCTCAGCACCCTGCCTGGCCAGTGTGGTGCGTTCGACCATCGTGGCTAAACCTACACAGTTTTCCATTACTTTTTGAAGGAGGAGGACGAGTTTGAGTGTTTGAGCAAATACCATCGGTCCCTACGAAGTGCTCTGGCTGGCATGGGAATGTAAAATGTTGCAGAAAACACAGATAGCTTCAGGACAAGGAGTTCTCTCATTTTGCCAAGACTAGCTTGGGGTAGTTTGGTGCTGAAAGCTGGGAGGAGGTGAAAAGAAGAAAAACAAACTTCCTCTGAATGTTACAGGGATCGTTTTCCTCTTAAATATTTTATAGCTGCAAAGGATGAGTTGGCAAATATTTAGAATCTCAGGATTGGAATAGGGTGGTCTAGAACTATTAGAAGTATGAATGGCAATGACTTGGGGAAGAGTCAGCTAATACTCCCTTAGAAGCCTGTCCCACAACCTCCCCGATGACCAGCTCCGTGTTGCTGTGTTGCACTTCGTTCCTCCGCAGTTAAGCACTTGTTAGTGCGACAGCCCTCAAGGGCGATGGGACTCATGCCACTTCTACAGGAGGAAAGATTCTGCGGGGAGGGCTGGGAGGTGGGGTGGGGGCGGCTACTCCATCATGCTGCCCTCAGGAGACTGGCTAGAGCCGAGGAAAGCAAACGCAGTGGTCAGCATCCCCAGGTACCAGTCAAGCGGAGGGCTCCTTACACTCGTTACTCAGCGCTGGATGGGGGAAGCAACAAACAAACCCCAAGCCCCCAAGACGCCCACAGCTGAAAACAGAAGGAAAGAATCGTGCCCACTGTGCTAGAGGGCACCCTGGCACACGGGAGAGCCCAGACTGAGCAGTGGGAGTTTCCCGTGGGGGGCAAAGCGGGGTGGAAGAGACAGGCAGGGAGACAGGCTGCTGGAGCACCTGACTCTTCAAGACCAAAGTGGCCCAAGCCTTCCTTTCCATCGAAAAAGACGCCTTCATGTTCTTGTGCTTCTGAGTGTTTCCACTGTGAGAGCTAGGGGCTTTCTTACAGGGACCTGGAAAACCATTTACTAGGTGGAAGACAGTCATGCCACTCCCTCTACTTTAATAAGTCTAAACTCTTCATTAGGGAAAAAAAAATTCAAGATAAAGGAATTTTGTTTTTATGACCGAGGAATGAATGATGCTTTAAGGGACTCTTAAAGATTATGCTGTCGCTGAGCCAGACTATGACAGCATAGGACTTTTCTTTAAAGATTCCATATGTTACACACAGACATTTAACAGAAAAGGTATGAGATTTCATAGTGGCAGGGCTTAATTGTTGACAATTTGGTAAAACTCAGGGCATCACTGCAGGGACCATAATACGGATACACTCAGCCACCCTTTATCAAGAATGCTTGGTCACTTGCCTTAAATTCACCCTTTCCCCTCCCATTGCTAAAGGGCCAGCCAAACATCTGAGGAGGTGGCACTTACACTATGGGCTGGCTGATAAGGTAGGTGGATTTTTCAGTGACACAAAAGTATCTTGTTTCCCTACATGAAACGTACAGTGAACCCTCGTTTATCGTGGTTAATCGGTTCTAGACCCTACCGTGATAAATGAAATTCCGCGAAGTAGGATTCTTTATTTGTAAATCAAATATTTTCGTAGTTAGAGCATAGAGGACATGAAAAAACACCCTTTAGTCACCATTACACTCGTATTACCCAATTTATTAAACGAAAAAGGGAAAATACAGTAAAACATTTTGGACGTTACAATTATCATTTATTATTTATTATCTTATTTATGGCATCAAGCGTGTACAGTATGAGCCAATCAGTGGCAGTAATGACAGAGCATGCGCTGTTACGCAAAAAACACGATAGAGTGAAGCCGCGGAAGTCGAAGTGCAAAGTGGCGAGGGTTCACTGTACACATAAACTTTCAAGAAAACACTTTTTCATTGGGGTGTGTCTATGTGTATGCACCAGGGGGCTTCAAACAGTGTGTAGAAACTCCATTCTTGTCATTCCATTTTCCCTTCATATTACTTATGCTGAATACCAGCTGGTTTGAACACACCCTCCTACGCCCCCTGCCCCCCCCCACATACACACACTGCAGTCTCGGACAAGGAGGTACGTGTGTACAGCACTCACCTGTCTGCAATACTTGCAGATTTGATCTTGTCTATGACAATGACCTGTTTGTTACAGCACATCGAGGTATTTAGGGCAACCCCAAGGCTGGCACCAGGAGTTTTGGCAACTTCAACTAGTAGGGGCCCGGACGCTGTCGCCACAGAATCTGTTGGAAGACAAATTTCAGAAAACAAAATACATCAAGTGAGCAAACAGAGCAAAGGAAAACGGAAGCTGGGTGTTGGCCTCTTAACAATCTTATCCCAGACGGGTCGGTTTCCTTCCGTGAAGCATCCCCACGGGCCGTGGCAACCTCGTATCAGGGTGCCTCAGCCCTGGCAGCTTGTTGTCTGTGTACAATCGCATATCGCTTCCCCCTAGCTGCCACAACGCTCGATGTATCTTTCTACCCTGCATAGTGCTTGGTGTATCCCAGGTCTCTCAATCCACGTTTCTAAGAGAATTCGCTAAGTACGTATATTAGAGCCGACTGTGGCTGAGTGGATTGGTGGGTGGATGGATGGTGCTTCGATTTGGATGGTCAGTAGGAAAGGGCACGTGGAGTTACGGTTGTAAACCTCGTGGGTCTTCTCCCTATCCTGGATCTGACCGGGTGACCTCCCCTCAGGGCTGACTTTACACATGCTTTATTTGGGGTCTGGACCAGTCCTGGTGCCCGCAGCTCTGACTCAGCTCTTGTGACTCGGTGAAAGTCAGCACCTCTGGAAAGCCAGCCCGACTCATGATCTGGTGAGCTGCTCTTCCTGGGGCCCCGGCCTGCTGTGTTCCTGCTGCGTAGCATGTGCGTGACTCCACCACAAGGCTGGTTTGCCTTACGTTCTATCTTTGCCAGACTGGAGACTTGCTGTGTAGGTAGAGGCTGTGTCCTGTTGATCACACCACCCCAGAGCCTGCCGGAATGGCTGACGCATCCGAGGTGGCGGGAGCCTCTTGCCATTGCTTGCGGCTCAGAGGCGGCCGAGGTGGACAGGGAGGGAGGCCCGCACTTGAAGTCAAGGAAGGACCTGCATTTCATTCTGCTGTTTGCACCACTTGGGTGAGGGCCCCTTAGCCAAGTTGCTAAAACTTTCTCAGCCTACTTCTTTGTCTGCAAAATAGTACCTGTACCGATGATTATTACAGTCATATCACTGCATAAAGCATTTTGTAATTTAGAAAGTGCCATCCATGTGGGCTATTAGTATTATTGATACGCTGCGACCTTCAGACTTTGAGTCATCTCGTGTTGGACTCTAATGTTTTTTTTTCCTCGGAGTTTCTGCTGCTCTGCTGTTTGAGACTTTATTAATATGATTTTGTCCTTCCTCAAGTACATTTGTATCACAGAGGCGCCTCCCCGAAACAGTGAGCAAGGAAGTCAGTCCTCTTACTGCAGCACCCAGGAGGCGTGCACGAACTCGAGGTTTCAAATTCCATGGAGTGAGCCATCTGTTCAAGATGGAACAAAACAAATCCTTAAACAAACCAAGCATGAAGCCCTTCATGCCGACAATACACCCATTCCAGGGCTGGGTGTCTTGTATGCCCTCTGTTGCTTAAACACTGAGATCATTGAGTCCTACAGAATGGGTGCAGAGAGCAGGACGAGCCAGCGGTCTCAATTGGTAGGAGGTTTTCTTTGTGTTTGGCTGTGCCCAGGGGTGAAGGAACCCGGCAACGTAGAGGTTACACGTTGGGCTGCTAAGTGCAGACCCACAGCTGGACCCCACCGCAGCTCCACGGGAGAAAGATGGGGCTTTCTAGTCCCGCACAGCGGGTGTTCCAGCCCTGGAAACTCACTTTCTCTTGGAGCATCCCTGTAAGACAGCATCTACCCCATGGCAGAGTATGCTTGTGTTTTGAGTTTAAGGAGTGATGTCTGTCATCTGTCCACAGGAAATGTTGTGTATTATTACTCAGCCAGGGCTGCTGCTCCCTGGCCTTGTTCACCATGCTGAGTTAAACCCATTTTTCCAACCTTCCTTGCCAGAAGATGTGGGCATGTGAGCAAGTTTCCAACAACGGGAAATGAGTGGAGGTGCACTGGGCACTTTCAGGATCTGCTCCCAGAATGGGCTGTACCCTCGCTGCCCTCGTTTCTCTTCTCTTCTGTTGGGATGCAAACCCAGACCTGGGAAGCCATCCCCCAACTTGCAGACAAGGACATGGAGCCCCCCAACGGAAAAAGCCCGAGTTTCCGGAATGACATCTCCAGAAATTCCCAAGTTCTTGAGAAAGAAACATTTATCAGATGGAAGCGGTGTTAGTTTGAGTCTGTTAAAACTGAACCGGCCCCCTGAGAGAGAGAGACCTCTTGGGAAACTGCATCAAGAAGGTCCAGCAGTTCAGTAAAACTCCAGCATTCCTGATGGCTCCTTTCACTGGAGGTGGTCCTCTCAATGTACTGCGTAACCTCTAGTCTAAGCAGCTAGTATTTCAGACGAGATATTTGCAGATTTGAATTTGATAAGACCATAATCAAGCATTACGCAATACACACACTAGGTGTAAAAAGTATCATATCACGATTAAACATCAGAATTTTAAGAGGTTATCGTGCATATTCAGAAATTATTTAAATATCCCAGTTATGTGAAGAATTAAGATTCAAATTATTTTGGAATAAAGACCAGGGGAGTAAGAATATCGAGAAGCTCGGGGGGAGGTGCCGGGGCCTCTGCTGCCATTCATTGGAAGGGAGAGGATCCAAAGCTGGTTTGGTAAAACTCTCTGTCTGGAGCTACACGGAAATTAGAATAATGGTCTATTTTGAAGTAGTACTTTTCTTATTAAGAAGTTGAAGGAAGAATATTTGGGGATATTAAAGTGCAGTGAGGGAGTTTCTCCTAAAACAAATGAAAATCCTCAAAATTCAAAGACAGGAGAAAAGAAAGTCACAGATAAGGAAGGGACCATGTGGGGCTGAGCGGGGCTCAGAGCTGGCACTCTGGAGTGTGGTCCTCACTAAGCCACCAAGGTACCGCGTGACCCCAGACACCCTCCACCCACACCCCTTTATCTTTATCTGGAAACTGAAGGGATTCAAATAAAAGCCCTCGAGACTCAACCGTCTATGAGCCTACAGAGAGAGAGGGAGCGAGAGAACATAGCTAAGTCAATAAGAGGTTAGTGGCCAGGCAGAATAAAATTAGGAAAGGTTTGTAAACTTAAAATAAATTCACCAGAGCCAGGATCTGAAGTTCACTGTCTACTAAGGAATGGAAGGGAAAACCAGAGGGCCTCAAACTAGGGCCCGCGGGCCACATGCAAGGATGTTTATCCAGGCCGCCGGATGTTTTTGGCCCGTTTTGTTTTTTGCTTCAAAATAAGATATGTGCAGTGTGCATAGGAATTTGTGCATAGTTTTTGTTTAAACTATAGTCCGGCCCTCCAACAGGTCTGAGGGACAGTGAACTGGCCTCCTGTTTAAAAACTTTGAGAGATAAAAGTGATTCTACACTACTGGTGTTTATCAAAATGAGAAAAGAAACAAAATCCCACCCAGATATAAAAATATATCCATGGCAATACACCCCCTGCCACGGAGCTGATGCTGACTCCTAGAGATGCCACAGGACAGGTAGAACTGCCCCTGTCGGTTCCTGGGAGGGTAACTCTTTATGGGAGTAGAAAGCTCCGCCTTTCTCCTGAGGAGCAGCTGGGGGTTTCAAACTGCGGACCTTGCAGTTGGCAGCCCAACACATACCCACTACGCTACCAGGACTCCAATAGGTCCTTGTAAAGGCAGATTGTGAGGGCCGGCCTCCCACCTTTGTCCTCTCCCCATTGCCTAAGAAGCTCTCCTGTGAAGGCTTTTCCAGGGCAAACCCTCAACGTTCTCACCTGGCTGTTTGCGCAGGGGAGGAAGAAGGCAATCTTATGTAAAGACGATCCGGGATTACTGACAGCAGTTCACTGGTCACGAGTCTTCACTTACGAGATGATCATTCTTCAGCTCATCTTTCTAAACCATGTCATTCTTCTCAGCTCCCAAGGGCCACTTGGAACGATTCTTGGCTGTCTCAAAGCTCAGTCAAACATAACATGCTTGGAGCTAAAGAATGAGCCCACCCCACTCGATTAGCTCTTCTCCAATTGACTTTCTCCCACTAACTGTCTAGCCTAATACTCCATCGACAGCCCAGAAACCCAGGCGTGATCATTGACTCCAATCTTCTCCCTCAATTTCATTCTTTCTTTCCATCTCCATGATCACCGTGTCAGTCTCAGTTACTATCCTTGGCTATCCCTACGTATTCTCAAGTCTTCCTCCTTCCCCAACCCAGTGTGCTCTTTCAAAAGCACCTATCTGGACCATGGAAACCTAATGCTACATGAAAGAAGACAACATGTTACAGGATTCCATTTATATGAAATGTCCCAAATAGGCAAATCTATAGCATTTATAGAAAGTAGACTGGTGGTAGCCTATTGCTTAATTTATATTTAGCCCTACGAGAAGATGTCCACCCTCGCTTCTTACTACTTCCTATTCTAAGTATAAATGAAGCCGTCTACATGAAACAACATTAACAGAAATACACTTACTGAAGGCCAAGCACATCAATAGGTACTGGGGACTCAAAGATAAAAAGATAGGATCCTTGTCTTTCCGTCACCTCCTGGGATATCATGTCAAGAAGGTAGGGCAGGTCAGTGCAACTCCAGAATTCCAATATGGAAGTATGTTCTGCTGTATCTCATAACATTTGTAGTTGTGATTATTTTTCTTTAACTGCAGAACATGAGATGGTTGCATTTTTTCTCCTCCGAATAAAACCTACTTTACTGCAGAATGGTCTAAGTGCTTAGAATGAAAAAATAACCCAACTAGAGTTATCTAGCGGGCTGTGGTCTCAGGTCTCTAGGCACATTACTCAAGCATGTCAAAGGGATCAAAAGATCACTGACCCACTTGTATGGAAATTGTCAAACGGGAGCCTAATTTGCTGGGTAAAGTGTTTTGCTTTGTTATTCCTGAAAGCACAATACGATTTCGTTTTAAGTGTCAAAAGATTGACTAACGGTGTTTGAAGCTCCCTGTCTATTGAATGGCAATTCTCATTTTCCAACAGACTATAGTGACTATGAAGGAAGCAGTATTAGCGCTGCTAATACTGGGGACGAAGCGGGCTGAGTGTAGAGATGTGGGAGAGTTGCGATGTG